GCCTCCACCCTTAGAGCGCCTCCACCCTCAGAACGCTTCCCTCCTTAGAGCGCCCCCAACCTTAGAGCGCCTCCACCCTCAGAGCGCCTCCACCCTCAGAGCGCTTCCCCCATTAGAGCGCCCCCACCAACTTTCATCACAAAGTTCCACCCTTGGTATTTAGCCTTGAATTTAGCAGGTAAATAAGATCTGCCAATAGAATGACTAGTTTTACTCTTGACATAAAATAATGTATTTTTAATGTAATAATGTAATAATGTAATTGTTTTTTTCTTATTTAAAATGTGAATTTTGTTTAGTTGGCAAAGTGTCTCACTTACCTCCTCAATTCAAGGAAAAATGCACTCATTTTAAGAAATATTGACTTATTTATATTTCTGTTTTTTGCAATAAAAATATTTCAAGCTTCTCCCTCATTTAACTGCAGCTATTAAAAGCATCACAGCATTACTGTAGCTCAGTCTGTCTTAATTTGTGATGTAACGATGTTATTGTGCTGCTCAACAGGCGAGTATTGGTTCAGATTACGCTTTAATCCCATTTACTGGGATCTGGTAGAGAAAGGAAGTAGGAGGCATAAAGACAGAGGCTCAAAACACAGAGAGCAACAGAAACTAAGATATAAATCTAGGTAAGTATGCTTCAGGGTTGGTCAGATAAACTAGGAAATGAGCCTGGTCTAACAGAATAATCCCTTTAGAACAGGGCTTCCGCTAGTCCTTTAAAAGCATTAAAAGTCAATGAATCATTTTTTAACCAATGCTTTGTTGGGCTGGTGTATGAAACCTGGAACTCAACGCTGTTTCTGACATTTTGAACTGAAAAAGCTTCTTGGATGGAAGAGAAACGTCTGCAAACTTGGAAACAAAGCCCAGTGGGTTGATTTTAACTTTTTAAAACTTTTTTGGATAGACTTTTAATGTTCTGGTGGATCTCCATGGATTCAGGGTAATCTCTCAAAATAAACCAACCCTGTAACGACTGTCTTGATACTCTTGATACCTCTGAACCTAGAAGTGATGGAAAAGTCTGAGAATGAGACCAACTCTGATTAACGTGGGTTATTACTGAATCCTGTTGGTTGGAAGATTGTTCTAAGAATTGAGGCTGGTTAGGCCTCCAGCAGGAACCTTAACCATGAATAGAAGATGGGGAAGGTTCATGTTTTCATTTTGTTCTGATCCAACCATCTGTCGCTGCAGAGGAAATCCAGACACTTTGCACCAAGTCAGCTTCTTGGGATCTGTTGTTGTTGAGCTGATATGAACTGAAGCATTTGTATTCATAATGTAACATGAGAAAAATATATTTAATTTTTTGGTAAAAGGTTGTTTGCTGGGCATACACTGTACGAGTTTTCGCCCTTTTTGGGCCGATTCTCCAGTAATTTGAGAATTTTTTTTCGATCGGGCCAAGTTTCAGCCTCATGCTGCGTCCTGTGTCGTGTAGTGTACAGGGGGTAATCATGAGCGATTAGCCTCTCACGACCATCTCTAGGTCCACCTAAGGTTGGCAAAAAATCAACATGTTTGAAATTCAGTCGGCTCTTATGAGGGGTTGGTGGCTAAATCCTGCTGTTGAAGCAGAGATACAGTAGTAGCCATTTAGAATTTCCCCACTTTCCTTGATGGGTCCTTGGCTGGTCTTTGGACGGTCCTTGGCTGGTTCTTGGCTGGTCTTTGGATGGTCCTTGGCTGGCCCTTGGATGGCCCTTGGCTGGTTCTTGGCTGGCCTTTGGATGGTCCTTGGCTGGCCCTTGGCTGGTCCTTGGCTGGTCCTTGGCTGGTCCTTG